GAGATGAGAGAAGAGAGGACGAGAGAAGAGAGAGGGAGAGGAGAGAGAGAGACGAGAGAGCGAGAAAGGAGGGAGCAGATAAGGAAGAGAGAGACGAGAGAGAGGAGAAGAGCAGAGCAGAGAGAGAGAGAGAGAGATCGGAGAAGAGAGAGGAGAAGAAGAGCGAGAGAAGGAAGATGAGAGAGCGCGCGAGAAAGAGAGAGAAGAGAGAGATCGAGAGAGAGAGAGAGAGAAGAGAGAGAGGAGAAGGGAGAAAGAGGGAGAGAAAAGCGAAGAGAGAGACGCGCAGCGAGAGAAAGGAGAGAGAGAGAGCGCGAGAGAGAGAGAGAGAGAGAAAGAAGTAGAAAGAGAGTGTGACGCGGAGAGGGAGATAGAGGGGGAGAGGGAGAGATGGGGGAGAATAATGGAATGTAATAGTAACTCTGTGGAGTCACGGCTGTGCGTATTCTATGGTGCACCATCGGCTGGGGATGTGGAAAGGAGGGGGAGGAGGAGATGGAGGGGATGGAAAGAAAAGGGTAGAAGAAAGAGAAGGGCAAAGGATTATGCGATTCCAAGCTCTCGACTACCTTGAAAACCGTACAAACACCCCACCCCCCCTTTCCCCGCGTCACTTCACAACGTGAAACAAACGTGCAAGCGCGTGCACGCACCCACGTACACACAACCTGGTCCCTATACGATACGCACCGTTTCTTAAAAAAACGTACGAAAAAATAAATCCCAGTTTTTACGACGCGGTGCGGCGGATCAGTGATAACTAGCCTCGAGGCGAAATTGCTCGGGTGTGATCCAACGACCCAGCGAACCAGGGTTAACCGTTCTGTTAGTAAAACCTTGCATACGTACATGGCACTGCGAGTCCCACTACGACTATAAAGTCCTCATTTAAAATACTTTCATCGATAAACATTCTCGTAATAAATAACAACGATCGGGCGTAGATGGCGCCACGCGGTCGCACGCCGTGGCCACGCTTCGAGCCGCGCCTTCTCCTCAGCCCTCCAATCTCTCAACAAGCTGCCACAAAATGGCTTCTCCCGGGGAGGGCAACCGGTGCCTCCCCCTGGCGGCAGCTCGAACGTTGTCATGGCGGCGACCGCGCGTCGCTGGCCCAGCGATCCGCGAGCTGTCCGGTAATATCGAACGCAGCGCGGGGACAATGACGGCTCATGCTGCAAGCAGGTGGCGTCCCCTGCGCACGGAAACCGACGCGCAATATACAATGGCATGGCTACGGATAATTCTACGCGCGCACGTGCGACGCACACAGTCGCTGATGGCACGACAGATAGGGAAGAACGCTACTAGATGTACTAATGCCGCGCTAGCAACACGTTCTCTTGTTACTGGGCGCATCGATCGAATAAACTTAAGTTACGTCTGCCTCTATAATGAGTCACAGGTCAGACAAATATACATGCACAAACACGCACGCTCAGACTAACACATACAATACACCCGCACACACTCAGGCATTCACGCACTCACACACTTACATATATATATGTTTATATATAAGAGAAAACAGACTCTCTCTCTCTTTCTCGCTTGCTCGCTCTCTTTCTCTCGCTCTCTCTCTCTATCTGTCACACACACTCTCTCTCTCTCCCTCTCTATCTGCCTCTCGCTTTTTCTCTCTCTCTCTCTCTCTCTCTCTGTGTCTCTCCCTCTATCGCTCCCTTGTCAGCGGTGGGTTGGTGCGAGGTGTGGTGAGGGACGTGTGAAGCCGTTACGTTGTCTCCACGGTAACAGGCATCTGCATCTGCGACGTTGATGCGGAGGCTGCGGAAGATGAAGAAATGGCTTCAGTCAGCGACGCATAGGAACAGGACGACGTCATTTCATTATCAACAGTTACAGTTCACACAGTTAATATCCGTTTCACTGACCTGGATGTATAATTTACAAGAACTGCAGCGATAAGTTTTTATAATTCTGCAAGGCTATTGCTCTTAGTGACTGTTTCAGTCAGCAAAACGTACGAACATCTCTTTCAGAATTCATCTCTTCAACGAACGCTTCATCTTGGAATATCGTCGAGCTTCAATGTTCCTTTCTCGCATTAGCTCTCTCACCTTCCCTCTCCTTCTTGCGCAGTCGTTTCCGTCGTCTGTCGATGCAGGCGACCTCTGACTTGAGAGACATGTAGACGCGGCGCAGCTCTTGTAGCTGCTCCTGCAGGAAGTTGATTCGCTCCTCTCCCTCGAGGCTCGAGTCGACTGCAAGCGAGAGACACGGCGACACGTGACCGAGAATTCATGCAGCAGCAGCGGCAACATCCTCATACAACATGTTGTATCAACATCCTTATACGACATGCAGCCGCAACATCCTCATACAACATGTTGTATCAACATCCTTATACGACACACAGCCGCAACATCCTCATACAACATATAGCACTGCAGCAATACAGCATGTTGTAGCAATATCCGTGCAAGTCTGCCGCATCTTAAATATGTCGCTACAGTTTTTACACGACAGTAGCGCACTGGATCAGCGATAAACAATACTGACATAACACGAATACGTATTGGTTCTAATGATTTTACCGCGAATAATCATTTGTTTCGACGTGAATTTTAAAGCCAACAAAATTGTTGACTATGGACACTTTTAATATAAAAACAGGCCACCCACTTTGCTAGGGGACCAGGGTTCATAGTAGTAAGACACATGTTGAAATTAGGACTTATAAGACCCTTTCTGGAGGCCAAAATAAGACTTTTTTACGCGATTTCTGATAGATCACCGACTATTAAAGTACACTAATAATATTTATATAAATTGCACAGCAGATTTCGCTGAAATTCAACACACAAAATGTTGAAAAATGGTCCTTTGGCAAAAAATAAGGACTATTAAGTACTTTTCTAAGATTTCACCAAAAATAAGTACTAATAAGGGCCCTTATTTTATTCTTGGCAAAATAAGTACTTATAAGACTTTGGAAGACCTGCTACGAACCCTGGGGACTTTCACATGCCTTCCACCTCAACTTTTGGTATATTTTTACGGGTTTACGCTACGAGCGTTCAACAATAAATTATATTATATTATAATAGTATCATTACCGAAACTACGTCAAACATTACGGTAATGCACTCACTAGCACAGAAGTTCCACTTGGGCTGGCGGTCGGGCGGCGGTACGATGGGAAGCTTGTGGCGGGGGTCCTGAGATGGGCTTCCTACGTCCGGCTGACTAGACGACTGACTGTTGTCCTCAGCCATTCCATCCTCGCTGTCAGTGCCCCCTGGTGTGCAAAAACACAATGAAATTGACGTTGAGACGACTGTAGTGACTGCATGTGAGAAAGGTGAAGCTGCACAGTTCTTACTGAGCAGATCTGCACCAATAGCAACGACAATGACGATGATAACAACAACAACAACAATAACAACAACAACAACAACGACAATCCACGTCTGACGCTCACCTCCCGGTTTTGGTTTCGGTTTCGCTGCCTTGCTCATACTGGTCCCTCTTCTCTGCCGCCTCTTCCTGCTAGGTGGCTCTGCCTCTGCCACCTGCTGCTGCTTCGTTGCCGAGGCGACGTCGATGCTGCTGATGCTGTCAGAGGTTGAGCTGGCGTCGACGCGGCACGTTCCGCCCATGTGTTCGGGAGAGCTGTTGCCGGAGCTGTCAACGTCTATGCTGCTAAGCGACCTGCGAGGGTGAAAGAAACGGTATCATGTCACGTGTTACAGCCACTACGAACCATGCACGATGACCAAGGTATTAGCCAGGAATAAGTATTGTGGGAGTGCAAAAAAAATATTTGGGAGTTCAATTTTATTGTGTCTCAGCCAAGACCGCCATAGCGATCTTCATGAACGCCGTAGAGTATGAGAGGGGGTCCTCCCCCTCTCATTGGGGGGCGGGGGTTACGGTGGCCTCCTCCGGAAAATGTAAAATTAAAAAAAAATTTTTTGGCCGTGCAGTTTCAAACCTGACCGTGTAAATCACGGCTGCACGGCTCGCTGGCTAATACGTTGACGACAACACGATGTACACTAGACAAATATTTGTGGCTTGGTCAACATCTATTACACAGAAATATTTCGGAAAAGAGATACAAAGGCAATGAGGGTGAAGGAACAGGACGCAATGGAAATAGGAGACGACTCATGCGCGCAGGAAGGAAAAAAGTTATGAAGTTGGGCAAAGAGATTCAGGCAAAGACAGGCAAGGATGAAGGAAAAGAATTGGGTTCTGAAAAAAGAATGCTGCAGGAATCTTGCGAAAGGAATGCTAAGAAAGAGATACCAGGATGCAGGGAAAGGAATGCTAACAAAAAGATACCAGGATACAGGAAGAGGAATGCTGGCAAAGAGATACCAGGATGCAGGAAGAGGAATGCTGGCAAAGAGATACCAGGATGCAGGAAGAGGAATGCTGGCAAAGAGATGCCAGGATGCAGGAAGAGGAATGCTGGCAAAGAGATGCCAGGATGCAGGAAGAGAAATGCTGGCAAAGAGATGCCAAGCAAGGATTCAGCAGACTGACATCATAATGTTCTGGCCGGGGCTGCGTCGTTGCCACGGCAACCGTGGCTCGCGCGCTTCCCTACCTGTCGCACGAGCTGATCTCCATGGCTTCGCGCGCGGGCGAATACTCGGGCGTCGTCGGCGGCGTGTTGTCCAGCAGGGAGCGCTGTCGCTCCTGCTCCTTCGACGAAGACGGCTGCCCGGCGGCGGCGGCACGCTCGCACGACGACCCGTCAGACAGGGCGCCGCTGTCGGGGCGAGCGTGCGGTGCGGGCGACACTTGGTGCGCGGCCAACTTCTGCGTCATCGTCGCCGTCGCCGGCGTCTCCATCTTACCCTCCTGAACGATCGCGGTCGGCACCTGCGAACAACGAATGTGCTCGTGAGAACGTAGGAGAATCTGGTGAACAACGCGCGTCGTGAGACACATATTTGAATTATAAGCAATAAAGATTTAATAACAGTTATAATTATAATTAGCTATTAAGAGCTGTTAAGATCTGCTGTATAATTATTCCTGTAAAGCGTCTCTGCCGCCTCCACCACCACCGACGCCCTCTATAACTCACCACAACGAGGAACTCGTTCGCAACCTTACTCCTGCCTCCCGCTGTCGCCGCGGCAACGTCATCAACGTCTGTCCTCGCCTCCGTCGTCGTGGCAACACCGGGCGACGCAGCGTCGGCTCCTCTCTCCGGCGACTTCTCCCCGCCGGCCCTCCCGCGCTTCCTCCTCGCCGACGCGGTGACCTTCACCTCTGCCGCCGCCTTCTCCTCACGCTGCTTTCTCTGCGGGGTCTTCTTTTCGCGAGGTTTCGCGCGCGGCCTTTCTCCCGAGACCTCCCCCGTCGTCGTCGTCGACGACGGCACCTCCTCCCCCGCCTCGCTCGCGTCCGAAGTGCTGTCGGGAAAGTCGTACGGCGACGCAATCGCGTTGCCCTTCGTCGGTGGCGCCCCCTCGCTGCGGCTGCTCGTCCGTTTCCCCGCGAACGCCGCCGCGCCGCCTCGCGCCGCCGCCGTCTCCTTCTTCTGCGCGGGCGGCTTTCCGGCTCGCTTGGAGTCCTTCTCGGTTGCGCCCTCCCCCTTCTTCTCCTCCTTCGGCGCCGGGGAGGGCAGGGCGGTGGTGGCGGTGGCGACAGCAGCGGTGGCCATCTCGCGAGCGAGAGATTCCTTCATCGACTGCTCGACGATGCGCTCAATCTCGTCCGATATCGTGTACTCCTCCTTGAACGGTGGCGCCTCGCGCGGATGGGCGGAGTTTCGTTGTCGTTTCGCAGGCGACGGGGCGCGGGGTCGCTCGGGCAAATCTGGGTGGGACTGGCGGGCGTGGCTGGCGGCGGGCTCGGCCGCGGTGGAGGGCGCGGCGTCGGCTGCGCGGTGCATGATGAATCGCTGCCTGTGACGTCAGCGAGGTTGAGCAGGCGCCGCTGCTGCTGCGGGTCGTGCTTCTCCCCCGCCACCGCCGCCGCCGCCGCCTCGCCCTCCTCCTTCTTCACCGCCCCCTCCTCTCGCTTCACCTCGGCCGGCTGCGGCGCCGCGGGGGCGCCCTCTGGTGGCGCCTCCTGCTCCGCGTCCTTGGGTCTGGTTTTCGACGGCGGTTTCCCGGCGCCCGCCTCTCCCTCCCTCGTCGCCGCGGCAACAGAAAACTTGCCGCGTTTCGGGGTCCTTTCGGCCGTGACGTCTCCTCCTCCCCGCGCCGGCTTCTCCCTGCCCTTCCCGGGCTTTCCTTCATTCGGCTTCTCCGGGGAGGCTACCTCTTCGGTCTCCGTCATCTGCGCGACCTCCGCCACGACCTTCCTCTCTGCGGGTTCGTCCGCGGCAGCGTGCGGTGCGGCGGAGGGTCGCACTGGCGCCTCCCTGGCTGCCGTTGCTGCCTTCCCCGCGGCTTCCTCTGCGTCCCTCGCTCTCGCTCCGACGGCGGCCAGGGCCTCCAGGATCGGGGTCCTCTCCCTCTCCCGCTCCCGCTCCACAGGCTTTCTCTCCGACACGTTCTCAGCCGGCTTCTCTCTCTCGACCTCCTCCTCCTCCCGCTCCTCCTCCTCCTCTTTCACCCCCTCCTTCTCCTCCTTCGCCGGCTCCTCCTTTGCGGGTCTCCGCTCAGCCGCGCGGCTCTCCCGGGACTTCCTCTCCACGATGCCGCGGCTTCCCTCCTTCCTCCTCGTCGGTTTCTCCTCATCGTCGGACTTCCCCTCCTCCGCAGCAGGGGCCGGCTTCTCCTCGACGACCGGGGAGGAGGAGGCAGAGGCTTCCTTTGCCGCGGCGGCGGCGGCGGAGGAGGCCGGCGACCGTACGGAGCGCTTGGGGGCCGCGACTTCGGGGGAGTTCTCCTGGCTGTCTCCCTCCGCTCCCGCCTCCTCATCTGCATCTGTGCAACGAGGTAATGTAGCAGTAGTAATGAGGAATAGTAGAGAGGAGAAGGAGGCAGAGGAGAAGAAAAAGAAGAAAAAGAAGAGGGGGAGGAGGTAGTGAGAAGAAGAAGATGCAGAATATGAATAAGAAGAAGAAGAAGAAGAAGAAGAAGAAGAAGAGTAGGAGAACCAGTGATCAGATAATACAATTCAAACTCTTTGCAAATAACAAATAGCCGGCCACTGCTGACAACCTATACAAGTTGTTACTGTGACACCACAGTGACCCTCTCTTTCCGATTTCCAGACAAAAAATCATTTGCCCTGCTATCCACTTATCACTGACGGCTGATTTCCAACTACTTATGTAATCATCATGTGATCAAGTGATCACCTGATTTCACTTACCGTTATCGTATGACGATGACGTGTTAGATATGCCAGATGTGCGAGTTGCTTTCCTCGGTCTCACCACGCCCACTGTGAAGCAACAAGTGCAACCATCACACATCACGGTTGTGACCGACTCACGTATACACGCGCACACACACACTCACTCACGCACTTAAGCATGCACATGCGCATGCACATGCGCATGCACGCCTAAATGTGCGCACGGATGTAGTATGTACACACTCACTTACGCATGTATACACTCACTCACACACGTGCACACTCACTCACGCACACAGCTACACACTCACTCACACACGCACTTAAGCGCACACAAACGTGCACACCAACATTCACACAGACGCTCATAAATAGACACGGGTGAGATAAACACGTTCAGCATGCTAAATTGCTTGCACGTGGCAAGCGAACGTTCACGGAATCTACAAAAACCGAGGACAGGAACATCCGAAACGCGTCTCACCGTTCAGCCCAGTAGCGAGATCTCCCGTGCTGTTCTGACGTGTCGCCCGGCACACGGCATGAGCCGTCGCGCGATCCTTGTTCCCCGCGCTGCCACCAGAGGGCGTCACCGAGCGTTCGTGCAAGGAGGACGGGGTCACGGAGCGGTCGCGCGTGGACGATGCAGGCGATGCGGGTTTGGCCTGCAGAGAGAGGCTGGATGGCGGACGTCCACGCTTCATCTGCTGCCGTGACGTCGTTGCCGCCGCCATCTGCGGGACACACAGATCACGATTGATGAAGTATTGACGACAATAATGTGATTACCATAACGATCGGGTGGGGGGGAGGGTTATTAACTACAGGTGGTGAATAATGACACGATGACGACAACGATGTGCAATGACAAAGACATATTTAAAAATCCAAAATGAATACAATGGGATTCTTTTTTATTGACATGGGTAATTGACATTTAGTCCCATTATTCATCATAACGACTTACACGCAAACATTCAGCAGAGCAAAGTTTGTCAATCGGACGCAAGGCGCTGAGAAAATGGCAATTAATCGATTCGATTATCATCATCGCGAATCGGAAAATTTTAATGCGGCGCGCGACCCCGCCACGACATTCCGACAACCAGACGACAGGGAACATCGACGACGTGTGGCGTTAGTTGGCATACTAAGGGCACGGCCGCTCACCTGACTCGCCGGACCCCCCTTGCGGGACTTGTGGTTTGGGCCAGGCGGGTTCTTCTTGCGCTTGCGTCCTGAGTGTTCTGCGGAGTTGACTATTCGGGAGGCTTTCACCCACTCGTCATACCTGCAACGCGCGAAGATCACAACGAAATCAAACCGAGTGAATATTTGACCATGTCGTAAGACGTGTTACCGTGTTTACTGCTCTGCGAGACGTTCCACTGTGTTTACCACTTTTGTATACTTTACTTATACTACTTACTATACTTACAGACTTTAACGTAAACATTTGATCCATTTGACGTCTCACAATGTTTACCGCTCTGTATACGTTACGATATACTTACACACCTTAATCACGATTAACTTTGTTAATAAGCTTTATAGGTTTCATGGAGACTCATCTTTCTACAACGTTTGGAGTGTCAGACAAAGTTACGACCCACCCGAAAAGCGTGCGAGTAATTGCGAGCGAAAAACAGCAGTGACGCGACGATCATGATAGCAATGACAACAGTGGCGACAACAACAATGGCAACGACAACAATGACAACGCACCTAAAGTTCCAGCCTTGGTAGTGGACCATGTACGTGCGATCTCCATGCTCCTCTCCTATCTCCACAACCTGCAACGTTAGCAGACGGGTGACGAGTGATATTCCAGCATCCACACTAACCACACTACTTCAACCCGCCTCCCCTTAATTCCAACTTCATCTATAAGGTGCGTACGAGAAACACGAGGCAATTCACCACGTTTCTCGCAAGGGTCTACAAGACTGACGGCAAGACAAGTTTTGTTTCTAACGACGGGTCCCCTGGTCGTGCGTACGCGCGGCACCCAGCCGGCCTCGCGGCTGCGCGAATCATACCTTCGCCTCGTAAACGCTCTGATTCTCTCCGTGGCCGTAGCGAATGTTCACCCTCTCGCCAATCGAGTACCCCTGCGACGACGAGCCACCAGACGGCGCCTCCAACGCCTCCCTGTCGTTGCTACGGGTAACAAAAACAAAAATAAACAATCGGTTAGTACTGAGATGCGAAGTCGAGAAGACGAGAGAAAATCTCTGCGGTTGTTGGACGTTAGCAGCGTTGCGAGTTGAGAGCGAGGTTTCGCGCCTTAACGATAGCACGGCTAGCCTGCATGAACACAACCAACTCGTTGCCATGACGACGACTCCCCGCACCGCACGTGTGCGCGAGAGAGAGAGAGAGAGAAAAAGACGAGAAATTCACGCGAGGGAGACTCACTCGGTCGCCTCGCCGGCTGCCTTCGTGGAGAGCCTCCGCGTGGCCTTCTCCCCGCTCCTCCTATTGTCGCCTGCGCCGCCCTGCCTCGAGTCATCCTTCCTCCTGCCCGTCTCCTTCTCTGCCGCTGGCTCCTCCTTCTTGGCATCGGTTTGTGTCTCCGATTTACACAGCGACGACAGTCGATTACGACCCTGCGCGTAAGGTAAAGTGAGGTGAGGTGAGGCGAGGGTAGGTAGGGTAAGGTATGTAAAGTAATGTAAGGTGAGGTAAGGTATGTAAAGTAATGTAAGGTGAGGTAAGGTATGTAAAGTAATGTAAGGTGAGGTAAGGTATGTAAAGTAATGTGAGGTGACATAGACCCTTTCAGTTTTCGTTTCTCTGATGTTGATTTATACGTACGCGTCTTCTTGGTGTTAGCTCTTCAACCTCCTCTTCCTTTACAACTGCTTTTGCCTTCTCTTTCGTTGGTTTTGACTTTTCCTCTTTTACCTTTGTCTGTACACAAACGACATCAGTTTAGTTTTTACCATCACTTCACCTATTCATCTTGATATCTTTTATGAAACAACATATAATGCTTACAAATGCATAGCAGCAATGTTATGATAATGGCATCTCGATCAATGCCTTGCCTATGCTTTTTTAATTTTTACCGAGGATATCTACACACCTCCCGTTTTGGCTTGTCTTCTCTTCCTCGTGGGGTTGGCTTCTCTCTCTCCTCTTTACCCTTTGGTGTCACCTTCTCTTCTTTGGACTTTGAAGCTTGTGCTGTTTCCTTCCCTTTCGCGGCCGTGGCCTTCTCCATTTCTTTCTCGTCTTTCTTGCTAGATTCCGTCTCCGCATCCTTACTCTTCATCTTCTCAGCAGTTCTCGACGCCTCAGCCTCCTGTGCCTTTGTGTCCTTAGTGGGCGTCTAAAACAAAAATGCCATCTCTATAGAAAACAGGACTGCAGATCAGAGGAATGCCTACAGAAGCATTTTCAGTACACTTTTCGATAAACTGTCAATTCACCGATAGATGCTAATAATGCGTGTGGACGTTTCACGATATCAAAACTTGACGTAAGATCGAAAAAACGTGAAATCGTGATTATCGCGAGATCTAAACACGCCACGCCGCAGACGGCACGACAAAGGTACCTCCGTGTTGACTCTCAGTGCCCCTGCGACCTTGCCCTGTGACCTAGCCCAAGACGTTGACCCTGCGCTTATGACTCGCAACATCGTCTCTGCGCCCCCGACCTTGCTGCCACGACCTCACTCACACGACCTTGCTGCCACGACCTTGACCCTGCACCCATGACCTGTGACGTTGCCCCCTGACCTTGCTGCCATGACCTCACTCCCGCGACCTTGCCCCTGCACCCATGACCTGTGACGTTGCCCCTGCGACCTTGCTCCCATGACCTTACTCGTGTGACCTAGCCTGCGACTCAGCCTACCTTCTCTTCGCACGCCGCCGCCTCCTTGGCCTTGACCTTGCTGCGCGCGGCGGGGCTCATGAGGTCGCGTCCGAGGCCGATGCCGCGGCCCGAGGACTCTCGTGCGCGGCACGGCCGCCCCGTCGATCCCATCGTGCTGCCGAGCTTACGGTAGAAGTCCTCAAAGCTGTGCAGGTACCTGCAACGCGAGCGAGAGCGCGCGCGATCAGTGACAGAGAACTAACTCAGTGTGGAGTGATGAAGGGGGGGGAGAGGCGGAAGGAGGGAGAGAGGGGGAAGAGAGAGTGAAAGAGAGAGGAGAGAGAAGGGGGAAGAGATATGGAGATAGAAAAGAGAGAGAGAGAGAGAGAGAGAGGGAAAGAAAGGGGGAGAGAGAGGGGTAGGAGTAGGAGAGTGAAAAAGAGAGGGGGAGAAAGGGGGGGAAGAGAGACTGACAGAGAGAGAGGAGAGATAGATAGATAGAGAGAGAGAGAGAGAGACAGAGAGAGAGATAGAGACAGAGAAAGAGAGATAGAGACAGAGGGAGAGAGAGAGAGAGTGAGAGACAGAGAAAGAGTGCAATAAAAAATATTGCAGGAAGAAATCCCCACATCTCTGATTATGAAGACAATGCAAGTTAACTTTTTCCAGGCGCGGCAGTTGGGCCGGTGTTGCCTTGGATTCAATCAGATAATTTACGATCACTGCCTCATAATGGCGGGGTGTCATGGGGAACACTTCTCATCATTCAATCTCGTAACATAATCTTACATAGCACACAGCTGCTTAATTTAAATCTCGGCACGATAATAATTGTAACTTTAACGATCAAACGTAGCTACATCCTCCCTACAACAATCACACAGAGGTGAGCACGAGAGCTCCCAGCAGGAACCCACCCCCCTGAGTGGACGAGTAGGAAGATTACCTCTTATACGCGCTCTTAAGGCTGCTCAGACTGCCCGGCGTACTCGGTTGAAGCTTCAGCCGCTTGTGCACCTTCTTCCACTTGCTCTGGTTCGTCACCTGACATATAGAGGTATGTGAGAACATAGCAATCCATTCTTCGTTCGAGTGCGAGCATTACGTGGCGTTACCTTGTTCGTATATGTCACTAATAAGGTTTAGCGATGCGAGTGACACCAGCCACAGCCTGTAAACCACTACGGCTTGTGACAATTGTCACAGGAAACGACGATATACCGTTCACTGCATTTAGGCAAGAGATATGAACACACACAAGCATGTGCACAGGTATATGCAAGCAGATATCGGGAAACAAGGCTCGATTGGCTTAACGGTCAACCAATAACTCCCTCACCTTGTTGTAACCTCCAAATCGACCATAGACGATTCTAAACACCTTGAACAGGTTTAGATCACGGCCTGTGAGCACAGGTGGCTTGTTTATCGGTGTGCCTGCAGCGAACAAACATTAAGACATTACAGTCAACCTTCAAATGTACTTCATTCAATTAAAAAATTAATTCAATTCAATTTAATTCAAGGGCTCACACACGTATCCTAATATCATGTGTGGTGAGATATTGTTTATGGGCATAAAGATAAGTTAACAAGTTACAAATAGACTTTTTTAATAATTAGGGTTCTGTCATACAGTCAACCAATGGGAAAATTTCTTCCAACGACTCCCCAAATTTATATACTACCGTCGAAAAAATTAAAGGATCAAATTCGAAAATTTAAATCGGGTGTCTCTATAAAGGAATTTACCTCTCTCATCCATGAACTTGTAGAGTTGTGCAACAAACCTGTCCTCTTCTTCGCTCGGCGAGTTGTAGAAACTCTGCAAGCAGAAACACCATGAACTCAGCGTTACACACTCACATACACAGTATAGTGAGCTACCAATCATAGATTCTACTGCGCACAAGCCACTAACCGCCAAAAAGCAGAACTTGTTACGAGTAAAGGCGTGCGACCCGATATATTGGCTTGTAGTCGTGCGTCGCATCCACTGGAGGGCACAACGATCAACCCACATCGACCAATCTGGCTTCAAAGTACGATCGCAGCATGACGATATGTCGTAGAGCCTCGCACGCGCGTACACGTCACTTCATTCAGACTGGATTACAGATTTCTAGCTATGTCTGACAACCGATAAGTGACAAGCAATCTAGCCTTGATAGACAATCTTCATGATGAGAAGGGCCCCGTTGTCAAAAACCAAATTTGTCTTAATGTAAGCCTTGAAATTTAATTTTCTCTTAACTTTTTCTCTTGGACTGTCAACACAAATATCTATATTAACCTCCTGTAATTATGATTAGTTAATCTGTTTCACGAAGCGATTTAAGTACATATTTAACTAATCACATAATTAGCCGACTTAAACATGAATTACACTGTATTCAAAATGGCGGACAACGCCAAAAGTATCTGCAAATTCGGTACATGAAAAGGAATTAATTTGCAATTATAATGACTAAATTAGCTAATCTTAGATAATTTAAATTTCCTTGGGAAAAAATTGAAGTAAAATTTTCAATTATAAAATCTGCAGCGTACTTAATATACTAGTACTACCTACATACTACTACTAGTACTAGCAACTAATTATGATTAGTTGATTTAATCATGCTCCTAAGTAGAATTAAATACTGTGATTAACTTAATCATGATTAAAGTTAATTACGCTTCGTGAAACACTCACTTCAATTTAAGTACGGGAAGTTAATCCTGATTAAGGACTTAATTACGCTTCGTGAAAGCGGCCCCTGGTCTACAAGTTAAGGCTAACGTTAAGACTAATTTTGTATCTGGCAATGGGGTCCCTCCCTACGTAGCGATATCTATCAGAGCAGGTCTCGGACACCTAGCTAAGTCACATGTAGCAAGCGATCGCGACAGACGGGCCGGATCAGACGTACCTCGTCACCCGAGCTCTCCGACGTGGAGGCGTCGTCGTCCCCTCCCTTGCTGAGCAGCTCCCTGATGTCCCAGTTGGGAGGCAAGTCTTTCCTCTCCATGTAGACAAGGGCCTTGTCTATCGCTGTAAGGAGCAGCAAGAATTCACCAAGAGATTACTACGAGCCTGCGCATCGTCATGCCGACTTAAACAATCGTCGTCAGCTCTATCGCGCCCTTTTTCGTAAGTTTGTTTTACGGTGTCCCTTTTTTATAGAAAGTACCCAAAACGTTACAGTTATACGATCAACTTTTATAGGTTAGGTAGAGGGTGTGAGGGTCATTTTAAACAAAGGTTTTTTTTGACAGTTATTTCTCTAAAACATTGCGCTACCTTGTTTCATGCCACTCGAATCATCTTTCTTCAGAAAGTCCTTGCTGAACTCTTTCGTTTTCTTCTTCTCAACAGTGTGACTGAAGTGAAAAAACCCGAACATAAACACCGATTGCTCTAGGTAGGCAATTAGGTAGTAGTTTTACACTCATCATTTGCCGTCTTTGAAGGAGTGCACGACTGGTTATATTATGTGTATTATATAGTACACAATCTATTATCTGAAATTCTGAAAACCGAAACGCTCCGAAAACCGAAGGTTTTTCGTGGAGGTCGTCTGCACACCAAAGCTCGCGTTTGGCTGCACAAGGTTCACTGTAGAAATATTAATGTGTTTGGCATTACTCATACATATTGCAGGGGTAGAAATTAACATTTGAACACGGGAGTCCCTACCCTCAAAAAGAGGGAGTCCGCAGCAAAATGAGGGAGTCTGCAGTCTGAGGTTCAAAATTAAAGATATTAACAATAATGCATGTGCTTATTTTTAAGATTCATGCGGTTGCACATCTGCCAAATTTTCTTTGGACATTTGCTGAAAAAATACGGTCATTCCACGAAGCCGTGCTTCGGAACGAACTAGTTAGTATGGCAGAATTTTCAGGGCGTCACACGGACTCCTGCATATGTCAAATCAGGGAGTCCGACAGTAAATCAGGGAGTATTTGACTCCGGACTCCCGTTAATTTCGCACCCTGATATTGTACTGTACCGGTACAGCACTTCGCCTCTTGAAAACTTGGGTTTTAGTACAGGCTAGTTTCAGGATATACGGTATGTATGTATCTGTACTGTACTACTATTCCGGAAAATTTCAAACCCCGAAACGTGTCTGGTCACATGGGTTTTCTGATAATAGATAGTGTACTGTATTAAATATCGCATAGATTATATTATATGTATTATATTATATATTACATGGGTTATAGTATATGTCTTATATATTACGTAGATTATATTTAATGCATTATATATTACGAGGAATATATTACATGGATTTTAATATATGTATTACATTAGATATTATATTAACATTATTACTATACTATTAGACTCGCTGCACTCACTATTTGCCGTCCTTGAATGAGCGCACTATCCACTGCGTCTTCATGTCTAGGTTAGCGCCCTCTGCTGTCACGGCGGGCGAGACGACGAGCGCCGGGAACCACGTGTAGTTGCGTCGCTTGTCGTCAACGTTGACGACAACGACCTTGCCCATGTCCTTGATGTAGCGCGGCTGCAGCACGATCTTCTTCTGCGGTGGTCCCTCGTCATCTGAGCTCTCCTCACTGCTGCTGAAACATCGTCATCATCCCGATCATCAACAGTATCGTCATCATCACGGTCATCAGTAGCGTCGTCATCATCATGGTCATCATCGTCAGTGACATTGTTAGAATCATCATCATCACAGTCATGTCACCACAACAGTCATAAGCAGAATCGTAATCATCATGAGCCACATTATGATCATCACCATCACCAGTAGCAACAGTAACATCATCAACATCATCAGATGCAGAATCATACATACCTCGCCGATCCTCCGAATCGCCGCCTCTTCCTCGACTTCTTGTTGATTACCGGCGTTCCGAATCGCTCCGGATCGGTGAGGGGCAACTCATCCAGAGTCTGCAACAACACGTGATCGATTACGTGATGTAAGAAATCACACACTGAGCGTAAAACCTGCACTAACAGCGCAGCGAGCGCAATGCACCGCTATCAACGGTATTCATACGACGTGTCATGAAGAGAGCCGCGCACATACGTTAGCTTACTGCATCGTTATCACGACGTAATGTATGCGATCGTTCCGACATTACGCTGTTAGTTCGTTATTGTTGTTGCACCTGTTGTTGTTGTTCTGGTTGTTACTGTCGCTGTTCTTGTTGTTGTTTTTTGTTGTTGTTGTTATTATTATTGCTGTTGTTGTTATTGTTTGTTGTTTTTCGGTTGTAGTGTGGGCTCCCTACCTCACTCTTGTGGAAGTGCTTGTCACCTTTCAGACACAGCAAGCTTCTTCTCAGTGTCGTTTCGTCCCCATCGTCAAATACTGCAAGTAGACGTAACAACATGCTGCAAAACTCGCACTCACACTCATGGACGGACAGCTAGACACATTGACAGTGGGTATGTGCTCACCCACCACACACTACACATTGTGTTACTTACTTACGGTGTACTGACTAGCTAGTACATACCCACCCACCACACACTACACATTGTGTTACTTACCTACGGTGTACTGACTACAGTCGGTGAGGCGCTGAATGGTCGCCTCTACATAGCGATTTGTCTCGGCATGTTTCACCTCCACGCGTGAGCCGACCTGGCAATGAATCACAACCCATCGGATAAATCACTCATTAAACATTTATCAGAGAGCGGTGCACGCACAAACTCCATCACCCCAATGAAGCATGGTTAGTAACGAACTTTTTTCCAGGCGGCAAGCTCACTCATCCAAAGCAGAATCTTTGGTGCTTTTACCACAGAACTTTGCTTAAGAGTTTCCCGATAGCAAGTATTTTCTGCCTCTACTGAGAGCAAGCAGCAAAATTGCTACTTGCTGTCTTAATTTCGAACCGACGTAGGAACGGCGATGGCGTGATAACAGCACGTGGGGGAGGGCAGGGACGCAGGGGGGGGGGGACGTTTAGCAATCTCCACACTAATGCCGGGACGATGTGCCGGCGCAAAACCGGAAAGTCAGGATTTTCGCTGGAGCGTGCGGTCACTGCGGTGTTTCCGAGGAGGAATGCCGAATCAATAGACATGCATTCGAAAAAGCGAATACCTCGTGTCCGTTCGCCCCGCATCGCAAACCCAACTCACAGCTGCGCACTCGATCAATATGACATTTATTAGATGAAATAAATCAACAGTTGAAGGAAGACTGTCCCCGAACATTACCTACAGGTAGGCACAGACATGCATGCACGCGCGTGCACAACTAAACCCATACCTAATACCACACATGCTTTTTTATGTCGCCTGGCAAATTACCATATTGTAACCAAAAACCCAAGCGATGATGCGCCGACACACTGCGACAACTGGAAGTGATGATTGATCGGAAGATGAGATTCAAGGAGAGTTGCTGAGATAAAGGCTTGTCGATGATGGCGGGGATGTTTGAATGCTACAGGAGGTGAGGGTGAGGGATGCTGGGTGTCAGCTGTGTCAGGGAGGATGACTGATGTACAGGAAGGATGATGAGGGATGCTAGGGGATGCTGAGGGAAGGTGAGAGATGCTTGGGAATGCTGAGGGAAGGTGAGAGATGCTGAGCTGTGCTGAGGTGCTGAGGATCACTGAAGCAGACTAAGAGATGCTGAGAGAAGCTGACCGATGCTGAAGGATTCTGGAATGATAGGGATGGATGCGGAGAGACAGAAAGCTACACGAAGGGAAGGTAAAGGATGGCCAAGTAACGGGTAGCCAAGGCAAGACAGGAAATGCCGAGGGATGCTGAGGAAAATGAAGAGATGCTGAGGGAAGCTAAGGGATACTCGGGAAAGCTAAGGAATGCTGGGGAATGCTGAGGCAAGCTAAGAAACACTGAGGGAAGCTAAGGGATTGCTGGGGGAAGCTAAGCAGCGACGCTCACCATGAGATTGCCCTTGACAGCGTCATCTGTGACGATGAATGAGGTCCCTGCTTCCGTCGGCTGCACCTTGCATTTGACGAGTCTCTGCACCTTCTTTACCTTGGCCTCGCAGAACGCGCCACGGTACTTGGCGCTCACCTCTGTGCCGACCGACAGGAATGGCGGGTCATGCGAGAGACCGGCCTGCAAGCAAAGTGGTCGCACAAAGACGTTATTACTAGCACGAGAAAACTATAATACACATGAACAAAGAGCCTATAAATTATAATAATGATGATGATGATGAGGATGATGATAATAATAATGATGATGATGAGGATGATGATGATAATAATATAGCAACAAATAAAATCAGTGGTAATAATAGTAGTATTAGAAAAGGTAAATAATAGTATAAGAAATACTTCAATAGTAGCACAAGTAATAAGTAATCGTCGACTGTTATAAGTTATGGAAGTAGTTTCTGTGATCCAATCCCTACCACCACCTACTACCTCCACTACCATGGAGAGTAAACACCAAGCTTGATTTTATAGACAGCAACACAGCACAATAAGTGATAAAACAACAATAATCGATGAATAAACAATAATCGATAAAACAACAAATGACAAAGTAACTGTAATAGCAGTAATTAGTTTTAGTATAAGTAATAGTATATGTCACACTAGTGCAACTCCTAATAAGTAATAGAATATAAATTATGAAAACTTTTATAAATAAATTATGCAGCCCAATAAATGCCAGAATGCCTATCAGATTCGTGGTATATAATAAATATACTGTATATAAGTAAAGTACAAAATGAATGGTGATCCCCCCCCCCCTGCAGCACTTAATCCCATATAATAGGAGCCACGCACTAGCGTGCAAGCAATGGCTATGCAAAACGCGTGCATCCCATGACTCACTGATGTCTCTCTAGTCGTGAATTAGAAGAAGCAACCTTAGTCATGCCTAGAGACAGCAGCAAGCACTGCTGAGCTGCCACTGCTGCCGCTGCTGCTACTGCTGCTGCTGCTGCTACTGCTACTGCTACTGCCACTACTACTGCTGCTGCGACTGCTGCTGCTACTGCTGCTACTGCTGCTACTGCTGCTATTGTTGTTGCTGCTGCTGCTGCTGCCGCCGCTGCTACTGCCACTGCTGCTACTGCTTCTGGAACGTTAGCACACATGCAACTAGATACTGCAATCAGCTGTAGAGCATATGTAAGCTAACCTCTCCAAACTTACTGCTCTCACTGGTTAAACCAGCTAGAAATCTTGTGAACGTAGCAATCAACAACATCATGTATGAGATCTCATACACACAACTAGTGACCAACCACGGATTGATATCTGATAGGCCTATACGTTCATCCACACCACAATTACGCTGTTGTATGTGACCGTGTAAAACCATAACGGGGATAAATATAGACGTAACACAGCAGCTCAGACAGATAGCTCCGTGACACGTGTACCGGCGGAATCCAACAATAAACCTAGGAAAAGGGTAGAAACGCACACAAGGAGGATAAGTTATTAACGTATTGGAGCTTTTTCCGAAAATATCCGAGTCATCTTACATGGATATATGATGAAGAAAAATCCATAAATTCTAAGAAAATCACAGCCATATATTATAACACGTGGGTTTTATCTACTCACACACATAAAGACGTGCCATTGCTGCTGGATTTTGCAGATTGAACCCTAATATGTTTTAGGAGTAGCCACACAAAAATCCTCACAGAACCCTACATACAGAAATCATTGCGGCAGCCATGTAGATATTTATTCACAATTTATTCACTCACCCGGGCAAAAGAAAAACTCAAGAGCAAGTACAGAACATGTGACGCATCCCAAACACATTATATAAGTAATATTAGTTTCTACATATTTGAGCAGCAGCCCAGTCGAATGCTACCTCAATGCCCAAGGCCACGGCGCATTATCAAATCCTGCAAAACACTGCATCAACATGAGTAGGCACAACGCACAGCTCCTATCTACACCTATCTAGGGTCAAAAACATATGCTCACACATACACACACACACATATACATCTAAACACTGACACTCGCTGAAAGCAATCCGGGACATAATAGCTATGCTGTGTAGAATAGGACTAATGCACAACGTTAACGCCAAATACACACCGCGGTGTTCTAGAATCAAGTCAAACAAGCAGTGGGATTACGTAATGTGGGATAGACAAGACAGCAGCAAGGTCTGTCGAAAGTGCCGTGAGCAATTTACTGTATCCCTACATGCAACCATGCACGACAAGAGGTGAGGCACGAGAGCTCCCAGCAGGAACCGACACGCCCCTGAGTGACGAGTCGGAAGATTAACCTCTATCCGCGTCTTAAGGCCTGGTCGCCGTGTAGGAACACACTGCGTGACCCCGCGCGTACGTCGTTATGACAGGCTTGCAGCCGTGTGCACGCCTCTTCGTCTTCCCCACTTGCTTGCTGGTTCGTGCCTTCAAGGTTGCCTCACCTGACCATAACTTATTGAGTTCTCGTTCAGTGATAGGGACTACGCAATTACAGGCATATCCATTCTTCGTTGGACGGTGCGCTGACGCATTGCGATAAAGCGTGGCGTGTAAAAGCGTCCTGTTTGCGGAGACATGCTTGCTGACCTACTGTCTATAAGGTTTTTACCCGATGGTGAGACGCTTGGCTACCGCGCACCTCCAGCAGCCGCAATGCGCGAGGGGGCCTTGTTAAATCACGTACCGAGCGGTCTGTCGCCAATTGGTCACAGTACAAGTCTCGACGATACTCAGAAGTTAGGGCCGTTCACGGTGCATTTAGGTCCGAGAAGAGAGTAGCATCCTGAACAGTGCCAACCCACAAGCCTGTTGCAAGCGGGAGGTATATGCAGAGCAGATACCCGACGGAACGAAGGCTCAATTGGCTTAACGGTCAACCAATAACTCACTCACGCTTGTGTACCTCCAAATCGACCTATAGCACTTATCTAAACTACCTTGCAGCAAGGTTTAGATCAGCGGCCTGTGAGGCAGCAGGGCTTGTTTATCCGTGAATGTGTCCTGTGCACAAACTGCGAGCAAACATTAGACATAACAGTCCACGCTTTCAATGTACTCGAATATCATGCAAAGTCTAAAAATCTCATCTCAAGCGTTCAATTTAATGTCAAGGGCTCACTCGACGTACCTATATAGCATGTGGTGTGAGATATTGTTTATGGCATAAAGATAATGCAGTTTCGTTGGCGCTACAACATAAGTTAACAGTTACAAATAGACTTTTTTATAATTAGGGCTGGTCATAGCAGCCTCATACCAATGCGTAAAGCCAGTTCCAACGGACTCCCCAATTTATATACGATACTACTACGCGTTGAAAAACTTAAGAGGAAATTGTCGAGAAATTGTAAAATCGGTCTCTCCAGTGTCTCCTATAATAGGAATGTTACGCTCCTGGCATTCCGGGCTGTTTACACCATGAACTTCGTAGAAGTTGTGGCAACACTGTCTCCTTCTTCGGCATCGGACGAGTGTGTAGCAACCTCCCTGCAAGACACGCAAATACCGTATGAATCTACAGCGTTACATCACTCGACAGATACGCAGGGGGCCGCCAGGCAGCAGTATACGGTGGACTGGTCGGGGCTATCTCAATGACATAGATTCGTACTGCGGCACGGAAGCAGTCATGGCTAGATTCGCGCCCGAAAACAAGGCAGAACTGTTTATACGAGGAAATTAAGGTGCGTGCGATCCGATATTATTGCGCATATAGTAGTCTGCGTCTGCTATCCACTTGGAGGTAGGCAACGACTCAACCCAGCGCATCGACCCCTCTGGCTTCCAAGTACGAATTCGCAGCAGCTGACTGGATACATGTGCGTCGAGCCGCTCGCACAGACGCGTACGACGTCACTGCGTGCTTTCAGACTGTGATTACAGACTTTCTAGCTAATAGTCTGTGACGAGCCGGATACAGCTGCAGCAGGAGTTGGGGCAGAGGTATCCTAGCGCCTTGAGTATACAATGTTCATTGATTGAGCTAAAGGCCTTCTGGCGGCCGCATGTCGTCTAAAGAACCTGGATTCGGACAAGTCGACATTCTGTTGTGTTAATTGTGAAGCCCTTGAAATTTAATTCTTCTCCTAACTTTGTTGGATTATCTCCGTTGTTTTATCTGTCAACACAAATTATTATACGTTGGACCTCCTGTAATCTATGATATAGTTAATACTGTTTCACGAAGCGATTTAAGTCATATTTAATCTAATCACATAATGTAGCCGACTTAAACATGAAAATTACACTGTATTCAAAATGGCGGACAACCCAAAAGTATTCGGCAATTCGGCTACATGAAAAGGAATGTAATATTTGCAATTATACATCGACTAAATTAGTACGGCTAATGCTAGATAATTTAATTTCCTTGGCGAAAATTTGAAGTAAAATTTCAATTGTAAAATCTGCAGGCGTACTTAATACTACTAGTACTACCTAACATACTACACTAGGTACTCAGCAACTAATGTTTGATTAGTTGATTTATCAGTGCTCCTGAGTAGGAATAAATTTTGTGATTAATCTAATCATGGATTAAGTTAATTGTGCTTCGTTGAACGAGGTCACTTCTTCAATTAAGTCGGGAAGTTCATCGATGGATTAAGGACTTAATTACGCTTTTCGTTGGGGGAAAGCGCCCCTGGTCCTACAAGTTAAGTAACGTTAGAGACTAATTTTGTATCTGGGCAATGGCGTCCTACGTAGCGAGTATCTATCACAGAAGGTCTCGGACGCCCTAGGCTAAGTCACGATGCTAGCAGCGACTCGCCGCGACAGACGGGCCGGGATGCAGACGTACCTCGTCCCCGAGCTCTCGAACGTGGAGGCCGTCGTCGTCCCCTCCCTTGCTGAGCAGCTTCCTGGAATGTCCCAGTTGGGAGGCAAGTCTTTCCTCTCCATGTATGAGAAGGGCTTGTCTATCGCTGTAAGGGATGCAGCAAGCAATTCACCCAAGAGATTACTAGCGAGCCTGCGCATCGCATGCCGACTTAAACAATCGTCGTCAGCTCTATCGCGCCCGTTTTTCGTGAGTTTGTTTTACGATGCTCGGCTTTTCTTAGAAGTACGCTCAAAACGTTTACAGTTATGGATGATCATTTTATAGGTTTAGGGTAGAGGGTGTGAGGGTCAT